GCAGCGACATGAACCAGATCAGCAGCGACATGGAACCAGATCAGCAGTGACACTGAACCAGATCAGCAGCGACATTGAACCAGATCAGCAGCAACATTGAACCAGATCAGCAGCAACACGAACCAGATCAGCAGCAACATTGAACCAGATCAGCAACAACATGAAACAGATCAGCAGCAACATTGAACCAGATCAGCAACAACATGAACCAGATCAGCAGCAACATGAAACAGATCAGCAGCAACATGATGTGATTATTCTGGTTAGAGATTCATGAGTCTAACAGCCTCAGGGTAGAAGCTGTTCCTCAGTCTAGTGGTTCTACACTTAATGCTCCTCAACCTCCTTCCTGAGGGGAGCGGGAATATGGGACTCACATGGTGTATGTGTTATAACATGTGTGACAACACATATAACACGTGTTATATGTGTTGTAACACACGTTACATGTGTTACAACACGTGTTATAAAGTGTCATAACACGTTTATATGGGTTATAACTTGTTACAACACACATTATAATGTGTTGTCACACGTTATGTGTTTTAATAAATCTTGTGTTATAACGTGTTAGAACACAATGTGTGTTACGTGTTACAACACATGTTATATGGGTTCTAACATGCAACACGTTATAACATATCACACGTATGACACAAATTAGATTCAATTCAACCTTTATTTACTGTAGACAGGTGAGTCTCATTGAGCCTCGGGGACTCATTTACAAGAGACACCTGATTTTAACAGAGTGATGACATCAACAGACAATCATATAAAAAAGTGTATAAAATGAAAAGGAAATGGAATAAATTATACAGAAACAAAACAAAATCAGATACATTATAAAGTGATGTAGAAACTAAAACCAGGAACACGTCTGCGTTGGTCTTCACCAGGAACTTACCAGATGTTTGAAGCCACTTAGAGAGGTCAAAGGTCGAGAGCTTCAGATCTTTTTACAAGATGTTCCAGGAAACAGGAGCGGAGTAGGAGAAGGTCCTTTTGTCTAGTTCAGTCCTCACTGAGGGAACACTGCAGGTAATGATGTCCTGAGAGCGCACGCTGTGGTATATGTGTTATAACTTATATTTGTTACATCATGTGTTAACATGCGTTATAACATGTTATATGTGTTTTAAAACTTTTTAACATGTTTATAACAGTTATACCACGAGTTATAACACGTCCAGTGATGGACTTGTGACCTGTCCAGGGTGTACCCCACATAACACGTGTTTTATGTGTTATAACACGTAAAAGACATGTTAGAACACGTGTTATAGCACATGTTATAACATGTTTGCTTTTAACTCAGCCCACCTGCAGGTCGTGCTGCCTTCACTGAACCTGGGAGATTTCATTTGGGCTGGTCATGAGTCAGAGGACAAAATCAGGCGTTGAATAAATCAAACTTCTGAGGTTAAAGAACATTTTGTTTTTTAAAGAAACTGAATTTTCTGTTTAAATCAGATTTAAAGTCCAAAGTTTTTCAGTTTAGAACAAAATGTGAACATCTTGAAAAACAAAGAGTCCAGTTCAGGGACCTGCAGAGTCCAGCTCTGATTCCTCTCAGCTGATCCACTTGGGTTATTTTGGGGGTCAGCTGTTGGTACCATCAGCTGACCCCCTCCCCCTCCTGTCCTTCCTCGCCTGGGTTCTCCTCTTCACCTCCTTCAGCGCTCTGATCCGGTAAGACTCTGAGCTCTAATTTTATTTGACTGAACTTTTGTCTTCATCATTGAAATGTTTTCCTCGAGTCGACTGGATTCAACAAACGAATCGTTTCAAGCTGGAACCTGCAGAGAACAGATCACGGGACCTGCTGGAACATATGGCTTGATTCTGACATACGTGTTGCTCAGCAAGTTGCTCCGGCCTCTGAGACTGAACTCAGACAGAATTCATATTTTACTGAAACTACACTCAGATTTTATGACTTAGTGAGCGTGTAGGAGCTGAAGATCTGCAGCTGAAAGTCTGGTTTGTTTGTTTGTTTGTTTGTTTGTTTGTTTAATTGTTCAGACTGAGTGTGCCGTCACATTTTATAACGTTATATTTTATTAGCTGCCTCAGTCTTTCTGTAAAACTCGTAACTTTAGATTTAAAGATGGAAGCGTTGCAGATCCGTTTGTTGATTTGTGAGAAACGTTGAATCAACGCTCGCTGCAGCTCACAGCTCCATTTTCAGATTCTGTAACAAGCACCATGATTTTTCTCTATTTAGTTAAAACTGTGTGTGTAAACAACCCACATGTTTACTTGTTTATCTGGTAAATATGTTAAGTTTGGAGAGAGGAGCGCTGATTGGTTGTGTAATGTTGAGGGCGGAGCCTAAAGACAGAGGTCAGAGGTCAGAGCAGCTGGTAGTCACTGACATGAAGCAGGTAAACATCAGCTGAAACTTGTCTCATCTGTGAGCGGCTCCAACAGGAAGTCTGACCATATTTGGAAGTCCTGAGAATAGCCACGCTCTGACAGGTGGAGTCTGTCGACGACTCGCCCGGGACGATAATTTTAGACGTGACACATGAAATAACGGGAGCCGAAGTCACGCTGCCTCCGAGCCTAGCAGCCAAAACAGCAGCAGCTGGACTGAGGACAACAGACTCTTATTCTGAAGGGCTTCTATGCGCTTTGTTCTGAAACGCCAGGTTCAGTCCACTTCCTGTTTCCTGCTCTCTGACTGAATCCTCCAGAACATCAGAGACCACATGAAGGGTCTGTGGGGCAGCCATGATGGAAGAAGAGCATGCTGGGTAGACACGGAAGCTGCTGAGTCACTGGTTGTCATGGAGATTCCCGCCTTTTATGAGGAGCAGAAAGGGGAGGGGCAGCACCCAGGAGCACTTCAGGCAGAACAACAGAGTAAAAAGTAAGCCTCAGACAGTCTGTGTGAAAACTGGAAGAACCTGTTGACCCGTGAGCAGCAGAAGGTTCTGATGGTACCACCGGTTCTGTTTGATGGTTCTACTGGGTTTGATGGAGTAGATTTGACAAGTTAAAGCTCAGACACAGGAAGTCAACAGGAGTTTGACCTCTGACCTCTGACAGGACACATCAGTCCCACAGCAGAGACACTGAGGGACAGAGACAGAAAGACTGAAGACAAGAGGGGACGTTTGTGAAATAAGACGAGTTTGAGAGACGGTCGAACATTTTTCAGTCCAGTCGTCCTCGTTCAGCTGCGTTTGAGTCAAACGTGCTGAAGGTTCTGAAACAGCAGGTCCAACTTCCTGTGACCCGTTAGAACCCAGAATGACTGTTCTGGAGCTGCAGGTCCCAACAGGACCGGGTCGAACTCCCATTGAAACTGAACACCGTGCACGTCTGTGGGGTGCGTGCACGTCTCTGTGGGTGTGTGCACATCTCTGTGGGGGGCGTGCACGTCTCTGTGGGGGGCGTGCACGTCTCTGTGGGGGACGTGCACGTCTCTGTGGGTGCGTGCATGTCTCTGTGGGGGGCGTGCACGTCTCTGTGGGGGGCGTGCACGTCTCTGTGGGTGCGTGCACGTCTCTGTGGGTGCGTGCACGTCTCTGTGGGGGGCGTGCACGTCTCTGTGGGGTGCGTGCACATCTCTGTGGGGGGGCGTGCACGTCTCTGTGGGCGTGTTTTACAGGCTCTCGCTCGTCCTGGTCCCATCATGGTGAACTGTGTTCAGGCGGAGCCTTCAGGACGTCATGACATCATCATAACAAAATTATATTTTAATTAATTTAATTGATTAAAATTAATTTTTGGATTTGGATCAAAGCTGAAGTCTCAAACAGTTTGTAAACACGAGCGTGTCGTCAGTAAACTGTTAACATCTTCTCCGTCAGCTCCTCAGGATGGAGACGTCAGTGAAAGCAGCCGAGCTGTTGGTGCCCCCCCGGACTGACGAGGCCCCGCCCTTGGAGGGTGGTGCAGCAGCAGCTTGCTCCTCCCCCTCTGCTTGCTCCGACACCATGCAGGAGTTCAGCCGGCGGCTGGAGGACATCATCAGGACCCACAGCTCAGACAGCATGCTGGACAGACTGGTGTGTGTGTGTTGGGGGGGGGGGGGTTGTTAAAATACACACCAACCGTTTTGTGTCATTTTACCTGAACAGAGCACGGCTGACTTGGAGCTGAAGGAGGAGGTCAAAGGTCACGTTGTCGCTGTGGAAACAGGTGAGGCCGACAGGAAGTGACATCACAGATTAGTTTTTGTGAAATCACATTCGAAACAGTTCAAGTGAAGTGGAGGAGCTCAGCGTGTGTGAGGAGGACGACCCTCAGCCACCACCACTCCAGACTCGAGCTCCGTGTCTGTAGAGCGGAGCGGCAGCCATTTTGTGTTGCTGAGGTCAGTGAGCCGTGGCGGCCATCTTGAATGAGAGTTCAAAAGTGAGTGAGTTGGCAACAAACAGCCAAAGATAAAGATGTTCAGGGCTTCAAGAGATATTTTACTAACAGACACAAACTTCACTGATCAGTCATAAATAAATAAAAATCACGTTTTGCTGCTCGAGGTGAAGATCTAGAAGAACGTCTCCTACAAAACATTTTATTTTGGAAGTTCTCCAAACCAAAAAGGACAAACAGGAAGTGACACTGAACACGGTGGTGGGTGAAGGCCTCAGCAGATCTGTCCTCTCCACAGACGTCCGTCTCATCAAGCAGAACCTGAAGGCCTCCTCGTCTCCTGAGGAGAACCTGGAGGAACTGATCAGGAAACACGCCGACCTGGTGAGAACGTCCTCAGCCCCTCAGAGGACCCGTCCCCTTCAGGTGTGTAACGCTGAACTGTTTCCAGGTGGCGCTGCGGCGCGGCGAGGAGCAGAAGCTCAAGGTCCTGCAGCAGAAGGTCTCCATCCTGCAGGAGGAACGTCAGCTGCTCCAGGCCGAACGTCGCAGCAGCGCCGCAGCTCGCAGCAAACTGGAGAGTCTGTGCCGAGAACTGCAGGAGCACTACAGCACGCTCAGGGTGCGTACGGGGGGGGGGGGGGGGGGGGGGGGGCCAAGCCCTCAAACACAGGTCAGGAACTTGGACTTAGAAAGTCCAGTTGGGTTCAGCTGAAGACCTTCAGATGATTCCAGTGGGGAACCCTCAGGGCTTCAACGCCTTCAGAGGAGGCCTAAGAATCCAGAACAAAAGAAAAGTTTCTTGAAATTTTTAATTTAATATTTATTTTAAATCACATAAATATTTTCAATGTCATTTTTCTCCAAGTTCTCGTTTCTTTTTAATTTATAAAAATCCAGTCATCAGATTATTTTAATTTTTGTCTCCAGGCAGAACCAGGAGCTCATGGTTAGAACCAGATTTATTGTCCTTGCACAGTTACAGAGAGGTCACGTCCTGAAGATGGACGAGGTGTTCAGGGGCTGCAGCTTCTGGGACGCGCCGTCCTCAAAGACACACAAGGAGCGAGAGGTGTAAAGAAAAGATCTCCCACCGTGTCCTTGACGGGGCACGGTTTAACGTGTCAAAATAAAACCCACCACATCAAGCATTCATGGACGACAGGACGGAGAGATTTGTCCACGAGCACGTCCAGATAGTTTCCATAGTTCTGATGAGATGTTGGTGTCTCTCAGCCGGTGCAGCGCTGATGAGCATTCACAGAAGTTCTCATGGGGCGGGGGGGACAGAGCAGAGCTTCTTGAGTTACATATCCACCAGGAACAACTCGAGATGAGTTGGCCTTCCAAGGCCGAGCAGGGAGGCCAGATTCAGATGAACAGTTTGATCAGAGACTCAGGTTCTCGTCTTCCTCCAGTTCTGCTGAACTTCTGGTTCCCGTCTTC